GGTAGATATTTTTCATAATTCTAGTGTAATATTGCGGGCTAAAAAAGGCCAGTTAGATGACTCATAATTGCACATAGGCGTGGAACTTACTATTTTAGGAACAAAGTGCTCCAGTACATGGATTACTGTTTCACTGGCGTTTTCGCATGCGAAATGCTTCTGAAGGTAAGCTCAACCCCAGATTCATTGCAGTTTGTGTTAGACTGAATGGCATGCAGTGCGTGCGAAGGGAGCTTGTAATTGGTGAAGTCTTTGCACAACCAATGAGCAGCTTTCGCGCTCTATTCTTTTGCGGCGCAACCGTAACAGAAGCCCAAGTAGTCATGTAAATAGTGAGAAGGTCAGCGTCGTACTTTGCGTCTCTAATTCGATCGAACCGCAGTAGAGCCGTTTCACGCCCCATCCTATAAAATCGGTGAACTGAAGCAGCTGCACGGTGACCTAAGCTCCTCAAGGCGACGTACAATTCCCGACATTAATTTAGTTGGAGAAGCTGTGGTCATCTGCCATTAATGGTGTTACCCAAGGCACGTCTGCTCGTCTGAGCCCTCTCATTGAGACACGAAGAGAGCGCAGACAAGCAGCATTAGGGGGGCCCCCTGACAAGCTCAGGGTGCTAAGTGGTTGGCAGGTGTCTCCTTTCAAAACTCTGTGTCCCTTCCAAAAAACCAAGGCTCATAACTTACGAGAGACTATCTCTGCAAGATTATCCCGCAGGCCTCTGACCGTCTGCGCTCTGAGCCTAAGCCTTGGTAAGGGGAAGGGACGTATAGGTGCTGCGTGTCCCAGCTCAACTACGTTAGCACCAAGTGTAGTTTCACTTTCGAACTTTTATTGTGAAGTTCTATTCGCTGATTGCCGATTATTTTTTTTCAGCTAATCGATCAAGGGATCATACTTCATCCTGGCTCATACTGCCGTGATTTTTGGAACATCCTTGACGGCGTTGTTGTCACATGTGCTCTTGTTGCATTTGGTTTCGCGTGAGTGGAACTATTAACTATTTTCCTTTTTTTACTACTTGTTTTTTTTTACTCTCGAAAATCAGTAGCAGCTTTCTGAGGCCTACAGAGATGGAAGCCCGCGTTGCACAAGTTTGCCTAGCATCGCGATTTTCATGCAAAAAATTTTAGTGGTGATGCAGTCCGCGCGCGTTTTCGTTCTGTAAGTGCAGTAGAGCGGACTACGTCGTGCCGCCGTGTGACCCCAAGCAATTCGTTTATTGTGAGCACTGAGTGCATTTTCATTACTAGGATATATACATTTGCATATACCAATGCCATACAATGCTATGTCGGATATTTCTTCATTTAGTGGTACCGAAGGATCAGCTGGTAAAAACTTGAATACCATCAAATCGCTGAGAGGTACTTCGTGTGTTGAGGCCACTGAAGACCATCAAAAGGATACCAAAGCTGAAGGTAAGAAGCAATGCTCTTTTGGTGTATAATTATAGTCAAGACCACTGTAAAGGATAGGGCATGTGAAGGGCCGTTATTTGGAGTGCAGCTAGGACAGCCTGTCCCACCAGTTGTCGCAGGCTCACAATGGCATCATTGGTGGGAAAGGCTGCCCTGGCTGCGCTCCAACGCCCCGTCACATGCCCTGTCGTTTGCAGGGGTCATTGCAGTACACTCATTCATCAAAGAAAGTTATTTGCATTCAGGCTGTGTTCGACTGCGTCGTGAATTCACTTAAAAACGTGTTCAACATTTTGATTGTATACTTTCTATTTCAATTTATCTTTGGAGTAATTGCTGTACAGGTAATTCCAATTTGTTTTATAATTAGTCAGTTGGTCAACGGCTTTGTCACACAGAGAGTTTGAGATTTCGAAAGCACATTCCACGACCCACCCGAGAGAGGGCATACCTTGCATAAGGAGTGCAGGATCGGAGCCGTGGGGGTGGTTTGCCTACATCGCTACTCGGAATGCGTGGCAAATGCGCTAAGACATGAGATGGCTAAAAAAGCCAGGTGGAAGTGTCCACCGCACGATTTTTGGGCAGGATTGCGTTCGGTTTTCCTGTCCTAGATGGGCGAGCGTGCAGCTGCATGGCCATCGCCTGCGCTTTTGTGTTTCTTACTCGCGCTCTGAGCGTCTTTGTGTTCCTATTTAACCTTGAACGTTTAAAACCGCTGGGCTCATCTCGAGGATTCATAACAGATTTTTTTTCGCCTGCTATTTTTGGTGGTAAGTCGAACTTTACCATCACTACCTATAACTCGAAATCCTGACAGGTGTTTTAGAAAGGAGTGAACAAGTTTTTCCTTGCAAAAAGGAGCAGTGCTCAGCACATTAAATGCGCGCTCCCCGGAGAGCTGTACCGGTACAATATATTTGTCCCGCCGCGCACCGCACGCGACAATATTGCGCGGCAACTAAGAAGACCCTCAGGCCACCGTAATCACTTAGCAGCTAGAGCAAAATATTCAAATTGGCGCGTGAATATCGCAGCTCTTAAGACAATTCAGAAAAGGGGCTGGGCTGGATGCCTTACCCGTACACCACATTACTATCTGAAATCTTGAAACTCTTCTCTGACGTTTCTAATTCTGTTTTGAGAAATTGTATTTACTCATTTTATTCGAAAAAATGTTTCAGCTTTTCAATGGGAAGTTCTTTTATTGTACCGACAAAACGAAACGCTTTGCACATCAATGTCATGGACAGTTTTTCATTTTCGATAATCAGGTGGGACATAATTTTTAAATGCCTTTTCGGGAACATTTCCCAACTTTCTTCGGACTATAATACTGTTTTTTTTATTCTAAACAAGCAAATTATGTTATCGCTGTTTGTTCCAGAATGAACCGCCTCGTGTTGAACAGAGAGAATGGAGACTTCGGCCGTTCAACTACGATAATACCATCAATGCGATGCTCACACTGTTTGTGGTGACTACGGGTGAGGGATGGCCGGGTATTCGCCAGAACTCAATGGATACCACATTTGAAGATCAGGGACCAAGTCCTTTCTATCGGGTCGAGGTAAATTGTTTGTCACTTCTTGAGTGCGTTCATAATGCGCGATTTGGTCGCTCTGATCATGGGTATGATTTGATCGCACAATGAGAGCGATCGGCGCCAGTTAGTTTTGTGTGAGTCACGCGGTCGGCGCTGACTGATCGCTCACACTGATCGCGCGACCAGAGCGACCAAATCGCGCTTTTATCGATTACTTCCACCGAAAAGCGTGGCGCTCGCATTATCACCTCTCGAATGGTCAAATATTCAAAAATAAAACCTAGAAAGAAATTTCAGTGCTGCTGATGGTGGCCACATTGCGACGCGAAGAAGAGACCCTCTTCTCCTAAATCTAATCTTTGTAGAGCGCATACAATCACGACCTTAGAGTGGCCTCGCCTTGGAGAGCGCGAATTTCTTCACGCCACCCGTGTAGCCTTCACCGGCTATAGTGGAACCGGAAATTCCAGAACCACAAACTTTCGGCTTCCGCTTGACGAAATAATTAACGTTTTTCATGCTCAAAACCTAAGGCAGCGTTCAGACTTCGCGACGGCAGCGCTTCGGTCGCGCGATTCGACGATCGATGCGCATGCTTTCGACTGCATCGAATGCGCGACCGAAGCGCGCCATCGCGAAGTCTTAAGCCTGCTGGTAGCGTCCTTTTTTCTCAGTATTTTCCATGCAGGCGCGACGGCCAGTTGTGTTGCGAACACAGCCGGGAATGTGCGCCGCGTTGGTGCGACTGGCGGTCACTACTAGTTCGCCAGTCACAGAGGATAATCACACTATCGAAGAATCACAACGGGCCATGCCACTCCACCATACGATCAGCGCAGAATGAGCCTTTGAATCAAGCCATCTATCGGCCTTCAGAATTGTTTCATTTAAAAACCATAGAACATGCAAGCGTTTCGCAGAAAAATATAAATCTAATAAGTTTAAGTAAATGCATGTTCGTCTGTTTTTAAGCAACCACTCTGAAGTATGATATTTGCAGGTAGCACTATTTTATGTGATGTTCTTTATTGTATTTCCGTTCTTCTTCGTCAATATTTTCGTCGCCTTGATTATCATCACATTCCAAGAACAGGTGAGTATTTCTGTATTGCATCGCCGAATGAATTACATTTTTGGCAGAATCTCTGATATCAACTGACTTTCCTATTTCAGGGTGAAGCTGAGCTGTCAGAAGGTGATCTGGACAAGAACCAGGTGATTTTTACTGTCCTCTAAAACCAATACATAACATTTGGTTGACGTTTTGATTATTATTTCTTAATGGCGATTGTATTATTCGAGTCTGTTTGAAATCCAAAGAGTGAAATTCAAAAGCGGAATAAATTGTTGAAAGCGGCTTTGCGAAATGTCCCTTCTACAGCCGTGTGCGCGAAACGCCGACCATCCACAAAATACGAAATTGCTGTTGCGTTCAAACTGAATACATTGACACACCCTCTCCAGCTCTGGGAAATGGAAGTGTTGACACCGATGCTGCATTTCTTCAGAGAAGCATCAATCCGCCTTCTCTCGAAGGTTTGTGTCAATGAGCTCTCTGTGAGAATACCCCTCGGTGTCTGGTCAACTCTGTGTCTGCATTACGCCTTGAGTAGGGGAAGGGACAGCGCAGCGGCCTTGTGGCCCGTCCTAACTAAGATACCACAAAAGTAAAATCAAAGCTCCTGAAGATAGGTTTCAATCATAAGTAGTTTTAGTCGACTTAGCTAACTTTCACATATTCAGGATTCTTTTTCAGAAGCAATGTATCGATTTTGCGTTAAACGCTCGACCACGCTCTCTGTTCATGCCGGAGGATAAGAATTCGATAAAATATCGAATTTGGCGACTTGTCACATCAGCACCCTTTGAATACTTCATAATGGCGATGATTTGTTGTAACACAATCATTCTCATGATGAAATTTCACGGGAATTCAGATTTCTACGAAAAAGTCCTGAGGTATGGCTGAACATTTTTTTGTATTTCTTGAATCTTCAATTTTAAAACCTCTAGTTTCAGATTATTCAATACTGCACTCACAGCTGTGTTTACTGTAGAGAGTATACTGAAGATTCTAGCCTTTGGAGTCCGGGTAGGTTGAACAATGATTCACTGAACTTTAACAGTATGATACTTTGCGCGATCAATAATAGTTTCAATATTTCTAGAATTATTTCCGAGATGGCTGGAACAGATTCGATTTTGTGACAGTTGTTGGTTCAATCACTGATGCGTTGGTTACCGAGTTTGGAGGTACTTCAAGAAATTCTTTAGATTACTTTACTTGTTCACTGTTTTGTCATTTACATCCAGCCGCTCTGGCAGCGCCCAATTCTCCCGTCACACGTCCTCTCATTTGCAGGGAACATGACTCTAGGCCTGGTTCCTGTCCAAAATTCGATCTTCTTTGCTTGAATGGTAATCTATTCCCAATTGCTAGTTATCAAACACTTTTATCTTTCCTCACTCTACCCTCGTGTGAATTAGTCACCATCACTTCGGTTAGAGTATCTGTAATTGGAGTGTGATCTGGGTCTTGGAGCAGCTTTCTCAACAGTGTCTTGCTGTACAACTTCTAACTACATATTTTACCCAATTACCGTTTCGAAACCTAAAAAGCATGGTTCGCGCAGAAAGTGGGGGGGGGGGAAGAGAGATGGACGATCCTGCGTACATCAGGATTACACTGTCTCCTGTAGCTGCTCATCAGGTTAGACTGTGGCTCAGACTTCGCTATGACGCGCGTGGAAGCGCGTTCGTGGGCCACGACGTCGCGAAGTCTGAACACAGCCTTACGTCGATCGTTTGCAGGACACTTCGTTTCTCTCGGTTTCCTTCGTCTGTTTCGTGCAGCACGTCTCATTCGACTTCTTCAACAAGGATACACCATCCGAATTCTCTTGTGGACATTCGTTCATTCAGTTTTAAGAGTCCTGTTTTTTTTTTGGGCAGTAAAAGTTAACTATGAGCTTGTGGTGACTTCTTACAAACTGATGCTCCTTCCAGGCTCTTCCATATGTTTGCCTCTTAATCGGCATGTTGTTCTTCATTTACGCTATCGTTGGTATGCAGGTAAGGTTTCGCCATCATTCTTCCACTGTTATTGGCATGAAACTGCTGCGAAATATTAACTGCAATCAAAAATGTCATAACTTAAGTGCTAAA